TCTCTCCATTTCTGCCCCTTCATCCTTGCCATCTTCTATTTCTCCCTCCTGATTTATCACCTCAGATATCAGCCCCAGCATGTCTGTGCTGAGCCACACCTGCAACTGCTTTACMACATTTATTAGCTTTTCTGGAAACAGTTCAACTTCAACAGACTATTTAAATGTGCCTTTTGACAGAGCATGATCTTGGGCACAATTAAAAAGTGAGGAAAKTTTCCTTCAGTAGGAGCCTGTCTCCCTGTCACCATTCCAGCACCTGTTTAGTGTTTTTCTGTGAAGCATTCATTGGAAAAGAAACTGAAGTCCAAATCCTTCCCTCCAGGAAGTCCATCCACGCAATGGGAATCGTGGAAGGAAGTGGAGTTTATTGAGTTTATGTCAAAAATAGGACCAACCTAGTAGGTATTTCAGTCTGGCCACTCAGGCAGAATTCCAGCTGGAAAGTCAGTAGTGGCCAATTTCTGTACTTAGCTCTTGGGCAACACTTTGCAATTAATTCAGCCTCCACTGAATTACACTGAAATCAATAAATCTGGACTGAAATCTGAGACAGAGGGAGACAGAGATGCTGTTTTATGCAACAAAATTTTAGTTTGCATAAGGAATAGAAATGGTATAGGAACATTAGCTTTATTGTTCAATGTGTACTTGGGGTCACAAATTTTCACTGATCATGAACCAAATGTCACCATGACCAGGACAAAAATTACCAGCAATACTCACACCTAAAACAGCAGTGGGGAAGGCAACATCACTTAAATGAGGAGAGACTCAGCAACTACAGCCATCAAAACCAGTGTCTGGATGTGAGCTGATAACACTGGATGGTGCGAGAGGACAGGTGGACCTGTCTGAAAATATTGAAGCACACTTGGGGGAATGAAAATGCAGCCTGTGTTTAGGGGTTCATGTAAAACCCATTGAAAAGATTTGACAGATTGATGGCATATAACATTCACTTTGGCAGTTTAGGAAAACTGTTGGGCTTTTGGGGATGACCTTTGCAGTCCATAMAGAATGCATTATCCTACCTCACACCATTTTCTCCTCCTGATTTGTTGCTCTTTTCTTAGAGCAGAACACCCATCTTTATCTTAGCTATTATTAATAGATCTAAAAGGGACAGGAACTGACCTCTTCTGTAAATWTTCTATTACTAATAATTCCAGATGTAGTTTTAAGATTTGCTTCTCTGGCAGACATAGCTCAATTCAGTTGAAAAAAAAAGGAWATTGGAAATCAGTCCTAAATAGGGAGTGACAAACTGGAGTTGTAGGAAATATAGACTGAACATGAACCTGGAAATGACATTGGCAAATGAGACACACTTGCCAGGTCTCCTCACTGAAATATCACCTTTATTAAGGATTTTTTATGACAAATTTGTGTTTGCTGAAACTCTCCTTTGCAACATAAATCCAGAAAGGACAATTAAGTTAGACATAGCAATCTGTGTACATTCAATTCTGGAATATTTTCTGTATTCTGAATTTATATTATTCTGCCACATGTAAGTCTTGGCTCATGTGAATTAACAAATGGAAGATTTTTCATTTTMTTATTTCTATTTTCTCTTCTTATTTTAGGCAGTTTTATCTTTTTTGTTTGGTTTTTCTTAAAGAAATAAACATTACTTTTAAGACTTTCCACAAAAGAAAGGGGATTTTTGAGACATTTTCCTTCGGGATTATAAGGATGTAAGAAGTATTTCTGTCTGCTCTGGAAGGGAGAGCTACATGTATCAGTCCTTCTTCCTTCTCTGGTTGGGTGTAGGATAAAGTAATATTTATCCAGCCTTCTGGACACACTTTTTATCCCTTATTCCTGATGCTTTACATCACTAGAYCTTCTTCCGTGCTGCTCCATCTCACTGGCCCAAGAGGGGATTAAGCAGACTCCACCAGGGATGAGAAGCAAAAGGAACAAATCTGTCCCAGATGATGTTAATGGCAACATTCCTGCTGTCTTCCAGAGAAAGCCAAGATCTCACTGGCATTATTTTGCCAAGCTCCCCTAAGCTGTCCATTGGAATTCATCTGTTTTGAGTTGGTCTGAACCAACACAGGAGTTGATCTAAACCCTCACAGTCCTGAGGAAAACAAAGAGCTACCACCTCAAGGCATAACACTGGACCATAAATCAGGCCCCAGTTTTCCTCTGATTTCTCCAAATTTAATTTCAATATAAAGCCACGAGAGTGCTGCTTGATCCCAAATATTAACTGTGCTGGGAAGCCCAGCAATATTGGCCTGCTCTGCATGTGAGCTGATTGAACTAACATTGCATTTTGCTACCTAGAAAAGCAGAAGGACTTTTAAAAGAAAAGCATGTTGGCAATTCAAAGCAAACATTTAAAAAGTGCACTGGGATTTCCAGCAAGACAGATTAATAATTCTTTTTCTACCTTAAGAGGATAGTAATTGGTACAACTTCAAGGTTAAGCAAAGACTTTTAAAAATGGGCACTTTTCCTCTTTTGTTTAGTCTGGTAACAGTCAAAGTGCTGTTACACCTCAGAGTTATGAATTGATATAAAATTGCTAGCATGAAACAGCCTTTGCTTACCTTTGAAAAATAGCAGGTGATATTGTGGTCTTTCCTGGTTTCAAATCACAGGAAATGCAGGGCTCTTTCTTATTTTAAGTCAACACTGTTACCTAAAAGGTGCCACTGGTTATCTCAAGAACTCCCTCCTGACTGCAAAAACAGGTTGRATTATTTGTTGGCAGCAATGTTCATTGAGTTCTGTCTCCCTGTAATCCAGCATGGAAATGTCTTTCAACAGCTTTGGTTTGTGCAGATCTGATTTTTTTTTAACACTTGGCAAACCCAATTTAAAGCCACAGACTTTTGTAAACACAGTATTGTTCAGATGTCACTGAGCAACCAAATGACCAAGTCTTGTATTTAATACTGCATTCTGAGGGCTGAAAGAATGTTATCATAAAAAGAAGATGAAAAATATCTGCAATTTCATTTGCATTAAAAATGGAAGCATTAATGCTTCAACGCTGCCACSCTTTCCCGTAATAGTTGCACCTATGAATTGCACTTGTGTTTTCTTCTATGTGGCTCCTGCGATAAATCACAGCACAGATCCTTGCTTAGCCTGTCTAAACATTAGTTTTACCCTTGCAGATGCGCTTAACTGTAAATTCTGAACCAAGAGAATGCTTGAAGAAAGCAATGCTCACCTTCATCCCTGTCTCATTATATTTTGGGCGAAACCATTTGGGTAATCCTCCTTTTGCACACCATTCATAGAAAAATTGAAACAAAGAGGAGAGGCTTCCAGTAATTCAAGTTCAAAGGGTAGAAAACAAAGGGCACCACAACTTCCTAAATAAAAGTTTTTGCAATATTGCATTGTCTGTGCAATCTGGAGCATCCCATGATTTGGACTGAATGCACATCAGGCATCCAGAGAGCAGCCAAAGCACCACTGCTTGGGCAGTTAGAAATGAAAGTCAGGCTTTCCTTCCACTTTCTTTAACAGGTTTTTGGTCACTCAAATTACTTTTTTTCTAATTTTTACTAAGAATCTTGTGTTAGCTACATCTAAATGTGCAYTGTGCATTTTTACGTTAACTAAGAAATAGAAAATTAGCTCAGAAAATACTATGACTTCRTTTATGTCACTCTTCTGAGGACAAGGGTAGGCACGCTATAGTCTTAGAAGAAGTATCTTTATGTAGATTATAATCTAGCTGTCCTTTTTCCCTTCAAATTTTGCAAAGATGTAGCCTATTGAAAGCAATTTTCTATTGCTAGACCGTTCTGAATTAAAGTTCCTCCCAAGACTTAGCAACTTATTTTCATATTGCTTTCACACTTGCTGATTCATTAAAATACAAATTCAGCCCTCAAAATAGAAACTGGAGCTTTCCAAAGAAAATGTGTGAAGAGCCTTAAATTATGAATGTAARAAACTTATTCATAATGCCACTGGCGTGATTCGGTTTCTGTTCCCAAATGTTTTCTTTAATCCCAAAGTTTTGAGTTGAGAAAGTTCTGTCAGTATCAAACAAAATCTCTCCAGACCAAGGTCTGTGTCCTTGCCCTTGTTTACTATCCTAATAACAGCAAAAGGAATAATAAAACACCATTTATCCTGAAAATTCCGAAACCATGAAGTCATCGGTTATGAACAGTGAAATCTCTTTTTATAAATAAAGCTATTTCTTTTACTTTGTTTTAGCCAGCCTTGCAGAATCCAACATAAAAACACTCACAGAATGCAACTATTCTTTGAGGACCCAGTAAGTGCAAGTATATTTCCTTTGYGTGTGTGTTTACAAACACTGAAAATCAAATTTTCAGTATGAACTTCCAGTTCTGTCTGTTGTATAAAAAAAATGAACAAAACCATTAGTAATCTGTGTTACTAATGTCAATAACAAATAGTTAAGAACAAGCTCAGCTAACTGAATAGATCTCAACGTGAAACTCAGTTTTACAATTCAGTGAAAAAGTAAAAACCAGACTGCCACAATAATAAATTCTTCTTAYAACCCCTGCTATCTTCCTGTGGATCCATAACATTTTCCTACACATACTTTACTGCAGTAGCTAGTAGTCCATTTCACCACGTAAATCTTGACTTACAACAGGCATCAAGGCTTCTTTCCAAGGAATTGATGCATTGTTTCCTCCCGGGGCCAGGACTGCCTCAGAGCTGTGGCTGAATTAATTTGTCCTCTGGAGATGCTGCTTCGTGCTCTGAGCTCAACCACAGAGCCTCCAGTGCTGGYGTGACCAAACCTGAAACAAGAAGTCTGTGGAGAGAGAGAAAGGCATCCTGTGTTTACAAAGAGCTTTGGCAGATGGATTTTGAACCCAACCACCCAAGTGAGCACCAGTCTGGAGCACCTCAGGGTCACAAAGCACAAATCATGGAGCAGATTCCCAAAGCAGCTCCCAGACAATGCCTGGCGAGGGGCACTGTGGTGTGAGATGGGCATCACCACAGCACTGTTGGYCTGGCACRYTYACCACAGGACAGGGAGGGAYCTCRGTGAGTTCAAAGCAAGGCTGAAGGCAGCTCTGTGGGCTGAGGGGATGATGATGAATGCCTGTGCTGGCTGCAGTAGATTCACACTTCATTTGCACCTGTGCAAACAACTGCAGACACGGCCCGAGGCTCTGATCCTGCTGGAGCGGAACTCTGGCAGGTTCCTGCTGATGTCACGGGGAGCAGGCAGCAGGCAGGTCCTGCCTGTTTTCAGAAGAGTGTCTCCAAGCCCCTGGAAAGTTTGCTTTCAAAAGAAAAAGAAAAAAAAAAAAAAAGCAAGTTGTCTATCACTTATTGACCATTCTCTTCACCACCCACACAGAGGCTAAAGCTGTACTTCACCTTGGAGAGAGAGAGAAAACTACGTGCTTTTCCAAAATGCTTGCTGCTTTATTCAGGGTGCTGTAAATAATCTACAGGAGTCTGTTTTAAACTCACTTCATTTTTAAATCAAATCCAAGGACCCAAAYTTCAACAGTATGTGTATTGATTACCCATTTTTACACACTCTCCAGAGAATCCAGCAACCTGTGCTTCAGACCCTTTCCTTGGTTGAGCTGAGCTCTGAGCCCTGCCCCATGCTCCTGGCTGCGTTCACACCCATCATCCCCCTTCAGCCTCCCACCTCCAGCAATGGCAAAACAGCTGGAAAACTTTGTCCCTCTGACTTTCAAATATTCACCTCTGAGTTTTTCCTTGAAGCCGTGGTATTGCTTTTGTCTTGCTTCTTCCTTGGCCCTCGTCTGTCAGATCAATGCATTCATTAAGGAAAGCTTCACTGCCCAGGTGATGAACAGGCATCATAAAATTGCTATATTTGACAATTCTTATTACAGGTTTTATATGGGAGCTACATTTCTGCCAYGACAAAAAGACTCAGAAGACTTTTCCTGATGTACAACCTTTCCARCAAGAGGAGGAATGTAATTAAAGTCTATTTTCTAGGAGTCTCTGCTTTGTTCAAAGACGAATCCAGACCTCATTCCTCACATTCCCTTAGTTTTATGGTAATTGCAAATAAAGTGAAGTGAGCTGCAAATATCTTCACAATTGTTTTATATTACTTGGATAGATAATTACCTGGTTGTGCCAACAAATGCATACTTAGCCTTCAACCAGTGAAAGAARTTATGTGCATTTTTAGACATAATTTTGTGCAGATGAAAGAGCAAGAATAAATTCTGAGAGCCAAACTGAGATGCCTTTGAAAAAAATAAGAACTTTTCTCTTCTCACACCCCAAAATGAAGATTAAGTCTTAGGAGGAAAAGCTTTTGATTTTCATTTTCAGTGTGATTTGAGAATATTTTGAGGCTGAGAATTCTGAAGTTCGTGGGGAGGGAAAAATTTCCCCTTTCTAGAGAGCAACACTCAGGACTGTAGCTTAGCACCTTGGAAACACCATAGTTTTTGCCCTTGGCACAGTACAAAGAATATTGTTCTTCTCCACAAGAACAGGTGGGATGGTTTCTGCCTMTCTCCCAGTAATCAGTGTGGTATGTTGGAATGAAAATTCAGTACACAGTTAAACCCAAATAGTCTCAATTTTCTGTACTTTCCAACACTCACCTCTCAGCAATTCAGGGGAGGGGGACAGAGATAAAAAGCCCACAATCTCTGATGCATGAAATGCCACCATACAGTTAAAGTAGTTCCCCAGCTGCTCTCTGTTTGCAGATTTGGAAATGTCCCCCATGGCCACCAGAGTGGCACCGCAGCAGGACAACTCAGCACTGTTCATCACTGACCCAGGGTATCACCAAATTATATCTCCCTGCTTCAGCTGGGAAAAACTGCTCCTCCAGTTATGAGGGACTCAGAACCACAATTCTGTCATTAAAAAACACATGACACAGATGTCTCTATCATTGCAGAAAAATGCACTAAATGTCTTGAAATATCAGTGTCYTTTTTCTGTTTGAATAATAATCATCATATCCACATGCTCATCTATGGATTTAGCCATCAATAAAAGGCATCTTTTTAGGGAGTTTCTCACAATTGTTTTCTCAGATATCATTTCTAAAGAGAGAGAAAATCATCTCCTGCATCGTCTTGACACATCCTTGTTCTGGGAAGACAAAGAAGTGAAGAAACAGAAAGTAAAACTTAGCTTAAAATACTTTCAGCAACCAAATAAAACCTTAGGTGAAAAATTCTTCTGTCTAGTGACATATGGATTTTCCCTCAAGTGGATATGATATTTGGATGCACTAGGTGCTACATGAACAGACAAATTCATATTAAAATCTCATTTCTTYACAGCTGCTGCCCTAAGGAAAAAGGTGTCATGAACAAATTTCATTATATTCAAAATACGGTCTCCTAGGTGGAGAGAAGGATGGAAAAAATTCCAGCCCAYRGCTTGTTTATGACAGTCAYTGAGCAGTGYTGGRTAATGAATTATTCTGCGTGAATCARCAGGGTGAGAAAAGCCAGGGCTCGCTGTGAGCAAGGGCTGCYGAATTATCTCCTCTCACCTGTCACCCTCACCACCTGGAGATGTGACATCCCCAAACTCATTTGTGCACAACCCTCTCCCGTGGCCCTTTCTAGCAGACATGGAGCACATGTTTCCCTGCCACTTCAGYTAAAGTGCAGATTTTCTGTGTCATTTAGTCACTTCTTGTCCCCCAGGGCCGGTGGGTCACATGTTTTGCAGAGAGGTGTTTCTGCTAATACAGGGAGGATTTATGACAAAAATTGGGCTGCTGTGCTTCCAAGTGTGCAAAACAACCCACCTTCCAAAGACCTAAGCTACAGTGCAGCCAAGACAGRTTCTAGGCAGTAGGAGAGAAATAAGGTTTTTATGTAGGAGTGTATTTTTCCAATTTATTAAGGTCTTGCAGGATCTCTTTCCATCTTTACATTTAACGTGGAAGTTACCATATACTTGTTCTCAATTCCAGTAATCCAGAGTAAAATTATTTACAGTATATTTTAAGAATATCTAATTCAACCTAATAGTTGTGGGGTGGTTTGTTTTTTTTTTTTGTTTTTGTTTTGTGACCTCAAGGTGAGAAATAGAGAAAGTAACAAATTCTGCTACTGCAATGACCACCCAAAGATCACAATCATCAGAGAGGAGGTTTCTTGCCCATTGCTGTCTGCATTCAGTCTAAACAGGATGAGATTACAGAGATTGCTCAGTCCAGATTGTTCTGCTTATTACCAGGGGTTTCATGATGTGCTGTGGCTGCAAACTGGCACATGTGTACATCCCTCACATTGCTCCAGTCACCCCAGCAAATTTATGGCAAGGATGAATTTAGTCTGATGTGTCTATTGCAAGAGAAAGTCCGAAGCATTGGAAAAAATTAAGAATGTCCATTTTAGGGGCAGTATTGTTTTACTTCTTAAATTATCGCTGCTAAAGCAATATCACTGACAGAGTAAAAAGTTAAAGTTCAGGAGCTTTGCGAGATCTTCTGATTCCTGATCACTGCCCTCAGCAACTGTGTATAATACATCAATTTTATCCCATGTGGAGAATCATTACCCTTTGACTCTGAATGTGAAGAACAATTTAAGAGCTGCAGTCTGTTTCCCACATGATAGAAGACTAAATATTTCCATTAAGATTGCCTAGTCTGAGTGATTTTTTTTTTTGGTCACTGCATTATAAAAATATTRAAATATTGGGAACTTTTAATGTTCCACAGTGCTGAAACCATTCCTTTTGGATTTACTGAGTTATCCCAGAACCTTTCATAGTCTTCCAGTCACACAACASAGAATAGTTGGTCTTCCTGTGCATATCTTAAAACATTATTCACAGCTGTGTTTGGACACACGTTTTAAGACTGCTCTAGACAGGACTGGCTGTAGCTGCCTGTGGCTGCGATGTGGGTGGGAGACTCTGAGGAKACATTTATCACAAGAGGAAATTCTCCCCTTTTTTTTTTTCATTCCATTATTTTTCCTTAGGTGCATGTAGAATGCATGGAAGGGGCTCTAATTAAAACATCTTTAGTGCTTAAAATCCCAGCAGTGCCCAGCAYGTCCCCACCTCATAGGCTCAGAAACAACCCAGCTCCCATGCCCAGGCTGGATTGTGCAGCAAAACCTGCAATAGGAGTTTCCCTGTCCCCATGCCCCTGGGTTTTGGGACCCCAGAGATCCTCATGAGTACTCAGGAAAAATAAAAATAGCCAGAGAACCCTAAAAGGTCTAACAGTAAACTAGGTTGCTTCTAGGTCTCTGTATTGCTTATTTTTGAAGGCTTCATRTGGTCAGTATCAAAACTTTGGGGAATGTTCTATACAACATCTGGGTGTTTAGATGATAATGAAAAAGCTTTCTGTACCTCTTTATATGACAATTAATTTATAACCTAAGTCAGAATTAATTTCAAAAGAACAATTTCAAGATAAGGCATGGCACCTTATCAAGTCCTATCCAGTTCTACTGAGGTTCACAAAATAGTGAATTACCACAAGGATTATTTAGCATTTGTTCATGCTGGGTATAGCCTCCTGAGAGTGGTGACTTAGCTGCTGGAAGCAAACAGCTGCGTTTTCTGGACATYTTTTATGAGCAACAGAAAAATCATYCTTCCTCAGGAGAGATCTYAGACCACAGGTAAACACTCGATGGCAAATTGGAAATTCCATCTTTAACATCCAAAGATGGAACTATTGCATCACTTAACAATGGCTGAAAGAGACCCAGCAAATTCAGCATCTGCAAAGTGCAGCTTTTTGTCATGTACACATTATCAGAAAATAAAATGTGGAGGCTATTGGGTATCAGTTATGYCTGGCCAACCAGTTAGATTTCTATCACATCAAATTTCTTGCCTGTTTTGCTTCTATGAAGGCAACTGAGAAAAAACACACTGAGGTCCTGGGGAATAGCTGGACACTCTCCAGACAGCTCTGCTTATATTTCAGCCTTGAGCTACAGAGAAAAAGAACACCTGAAAATTAAAAGGTTAACCAGACATGCACTGCTAGGACATTTTCTCTACATTTTTGTTAAATAGGTCTGGCAAGCCAAAGCACAGGCAGGAGAAGCAGCTTTTTCTCTCTCTGCCCAGCAGCAAGACCTTTCTCTGCAGCAGAAAGGTGTCCCCAGCTGCAGTGTGGGTGCTTCTGGGTCCTCCTGACACCCTGTCTCCCACAGTCTGTTTGCTCCTAAATACCTRGGCAAGTGATTCATAGTAGTAGGAAACCTCCCTTTTCCACCAGGAAAAGCTGTGAGATGTAAAACGACCTGGAATTTGCCTGACAAACGCAAATCAATGGCTAATTGTTCTTGCACTTGAAAAGGAAGCAATCAATCAATTGCAGCGCACACATTTATTTGCAGGAGTAGATTATGAAGGCAAAGAAATCTTTTGGGCTGTGCTTTCTGACTGTCTGCTGGGATTTGCCTTCAGACTTAACCTGTGTGTGCTTCAAAGCGTTGCAGCTGTGATAATGAAAACAAGTAAAAAAACATTGAAGCTGTGATAAAGAAAACAAATAAAATACGAGTGAAAATGGTATCACAGGAAGATTCTTTGTGAAGGAAGCACATGGATGAAGCTGTAGTTTATCCAGCACCTGGCACATGAGCCTTTTGAGCAAAAGTTCTTCCTCTCATGTTGCTTTCAGCCTCTCTTGAACTCAGCACATCCTGGGCAGYAGGAGCTGAGCCAAAGCAAAGGATCAGCTCCCTGCAAAGCCCCCGGGGTCCCCAGCTCCTCWCCCACTGGGCTGCCTGGGACAGCCAGCACAAAAGGCTCTGGAAGCCCAGGGAAGAGGTGCTTTTCCACAGCCAGGCATAACTTTGTCCAGAAAGTATTTGTTGGTTTTGCGTAAACACCGGCCTGTGACAACATTCCAGTGAAATGAAAGGTTATGAAATTCACATCRTTTTTGTGAGTGACTCTTGTGAGTCATTGCTATCAAGCAAGCAAAAAGTATTCACTATGTGTCCAACTGACTTTCAATAGCTATTGGAAATTGTTTATCACAATTAATTTTATCTGTGGACTTCTTCCTTCTGACAGAAGTAAACCATGCAGAGCTCAGACTTCCCAGAATTCAACCTCAGCACAGAAACKCCTTGCCAAATCCACATCTGAGACAATGAAAGATGATCCGTTCCAAAGCATCCAGCTACGGCTGTGCGAAAATGCAAGATGCAATAAAATATGAAGGCACTTTTTGTTTTAAAGACAAAAATGTGGGCTGTGCACAAATCCAACCGCTCTTTACATTGATTTTATGCTCTTGCAACCTCTCTGCTTCAAAGGGTAAATGTCTTTGTAACACAAAACACATACTTGTAAGAGCAATGATTTTTTAAAGGGTAACATGACATTAGCCTAATCTTTCCTGTTTAATCAGCAGACAGAGCAAGTGGGATATAACATGACTGTTCACATCCTCTGTGCCTTGAGCTCAGAGAGAAAGCTGATATGGAACATGTTGGTGGAGGGGAAAAAAGGGAAACAAGGCTTTCTGTGCTTAAAGCACAGCTCTGTTATCAGGATGATTAAAGCCATTTACTGTTAAACAACAGCCTTCCAGATCCTCCCAACATCCTGAACTCATTCTGCTGTTCTGGGCTAATTAGATGGGTTTCAAATGTTGTAAAATACTGTTTATGGAAAAATGTTCTGCTAATCAAGATGTCTTGGTATATTTGGCACAAGTTTTCATTTCTATTCTTTCTAATATCCATCATACAAAGGAGCTAATGGAGTTTTACAAAAACATAACAAAAACCTCTGCAACTCCAGCTTGTTACAGCTTAAACCAAAACATCAAAAGAGAGAAAATTCTATAAGAAACATGCAAAGATAGGGTAGCTGTCAGGGATGCAAGAAAAATGAGGGTTTTRTTTGAATTCTCATTTTTAGGGAGTGGGAACATACCTGTACATGTGGGTGTGCATGTGTGCACACAGGTCTGGGGTCAGGTCTTCTAGGACGGGTTTGAGGAGCGAGCACAAATCTGCTGTAGCCCTGACAAGAATTCTGACATAA